TCTTATGATGAATACAGGTGATTTTTTCCTTGTAAACTAGCTGAAAACCAATTTTTGAGATTACGAATTTTTTCAGATGTGCTCCAATTTTTGATTACTAAAGTGCATCTTGTAGCCCACGTGTTACTGATCATTTCTGACACCTACATGACCTACTTCTGATGAGTGATGAGTAAGATATTGAGTTGTGAAGTTAAGGTTTTTAGTGTTACATATGACTTGTGACTGTAAATTCGAGATTCACACCAATTCTTTATTTGCCTTATAACTTTTTACACACACCTCCGTTACTAATGATTTAAAGTTTGTACATTATGTAATCCACTCTTCTGCGGTGAATGAGCCATCTACCAACCTATTCTGACGTCATTTGACATATGTAATTAGCTGAAAACCTCCATTTTCCACGAATTTCACCCATTTTCTTCACTTTTCACAGCTACTACTATCTTTTTCTTGCTCATGTAATATGACATCATCATCTATAGCCTTAAAAATCCCGGAAAATCCTCTTGGCAACCTTAAATTCCATCACTACCACTATTACACAACCAAACTACACGTGTACCTCTTGTTTACCAACTTCGAAAAAGTGCTTTTTTCCTAATAACTTCTGTTTCTACTTATCAACCTTGAAGATTAAAATTGTCATAGTATCATATAATGTTGTTCTTTCATATTATAACCTCATAATACCCATAACTCTAATATTACTACCCTAAAAACCATTTTCCAACCTTTATACCTATAATTTCGAATTTTTCTTATGTTTTTCTTTCTTTCTTTTTGTAATAAATTTGTAAGTAAACTATAATGATCTTAATATATAATGTGAAATAAAATGATGTAATGTTGACCTAATGACCAATACATAAGCCTACAAGAGCTTCAATTGATCAAAAACCTCCATTTCGAATTTTCTTTCCTGCTGAATCCTGCTAATAAACTGGTAAACTGGTAATTGTGAATTTTTTAATTGATCCCATAAATTGATCACCACAGCGGGTATTTAAAAACCCAGACTATATCATGTGCTGTAGGCTGCAGACAATGACTGCAAGCTCACATTCCTGTAATCAGCTGTTTTTCCAATGCAATTGCTTATGCTACCTCCTTTGCAGCCAACATGAATAAGAAAGAGGATTTATGATTTTGCTTCCAAATATTTGACAATTAACTTTGCTTATTGGTGTTTCTTGATTCTATGGAAAGGAACAGAGTGAGTGCTCATCATCTATTCATTTCATTCAAACTATTTTAAATTAATTAAATATGTATTCAATTGTTTTTGTTTATCTGATGTCTTGACAATGCTAGCTGTATAACAATTGCTGAGGATTTGTCCATCCCATCTTGATTTTTGTCTCAACCTCAACCTTATAGGTTAGTATGTGTCAAGTAGTTGTTAGGAGGTGTTGAGACTCACCTCTAGATACTTTATTGGGGCTTCAGGTACTTGACACAATTTGTTGTTTTTCACTAGCTTGTTTGGGTGATCCATTCACAAGTTTGGTAGGTGCATTGCTTTGAGAGAGTGCTACTGAGATCTTCCACCTTGGGATTGTCAACCAGGCCAGTGAGAAAAAGCAGGAAACTTGGAACATGTGCACCCAAGTGTTATTAAAACACATCCAATCCAGCATGCACAGCAAGCTTGACAACATGAGCTAGACAACCAAGTAGATGTTTGTCAGCAAAGAATTGAGGTATGAAGTGCTGAAGTTGAAACACTGTGGTAATATTGTTTGAAGTGTTGTCAGATGTAATGTAAAACACACAATCTGTAATATTGTATTGATTAAGAACCTAGTGTAAATGGACAGCTAGGTTTGCACCAGTATGGTGTCCAATGACTTGCTTCATGGCAATGATGGCCTCACAAGGCTTAAAGTGTTTGGTGAGCCAGTACACAGTAATACCAAAGATCAAGCAGCCATTTGTAGATGTCCAACAATCACAAGTGAGGCTGATGTAGTGCTGAGAGGCTGGAACTTCTTTGAGTTTGACTTGAGCAGATTCACATAATTGGAAGGACAGAAGGATTGCATAGATCAATGAAATCAAGAAATGTAGAGGACTTGATGGTGATGAATGGGAACTCCTCTTTGATGATCAATTTCATGAGTCCCACAAGTCAGTGGACAACACTAGATGTAACCACACTAGATTAGCATCATCAAAGACAAAACCAGCTACATGAGACTTACATATGCCACTGTGCCATGTAATGTTTTATCTTCATCAAGACAAGGTGCTTTAAGAAGCTTGTGAGAACTGTTCAGATGTATAATCAGTGCCTTGGTTCTTGATGACTTATTGGTCATGATGCAAGCACCACAAGCCAGTTGGTAACTCAACCTGGCAGACATGTCTGATTTCATTGTCAATTTTGATGCTCTTGAAGTGTGACCAAACCCATGATTGCCCAAAGCAATTGGCTTGGATTCTAGATGATCCCAAGGGAATCTGGCAAGCAATAGATGATATTGCAGAGCAAAGATGTCTAGGACTATGCCTAGGAGAAAGAAGTTGAGCAGAGGAAGTGGTTCTGGAGACTCATGATCTGGGAAATGAAGAGGGGATGTATGTAAGGAATTGATTGGAATCTGATACAGTTGTTTGCAAAAAGCTTGCCACAAATTCACCGCCAAATTGCACGAGTTTCGCGGGCAATTTTCGGCAAGCTTTTTGAAAAAGACCGTAGAAGAAGCATTATGTAAATTGGAATCTGATAGAGGAAGTATTAAATTGGAATCTGACAGAAGAAGTATTAATTGTCTGGTGGCCTGACAGGCACCTCGGCCACAGGGGTGTTTGGGCATGCCGGAATGCCCGGCTAGATTAAAATTTTCTTGAGGCTCGGCCGAGGGATCCCCCTCCAGAAAGCCCGCTGCCCCAAAACCGATTTGGGCACGTCGGGCAAGAATTAGCTCTGAAACAGTCTGAAACTCTAAGGTCGATCATGTTCAAATTATATTCACTTCTGACATGTCATTACGTATACTACCTTTGCAAAAAAGGTTGACCGGGTCGACCGCGAAGGAGAAGAGAAGAGATGCCAAATTTGGCCGCAGCGCCTGCTGCGCAGCGCATCCAAATTCAAATTTCGCTCGATCCAAAAAACAATTGGGTTGTCAGAACACTCAACGTGACCTGGTGGTTATGATAGATACCAAGATTGGTCACGACCGATATTCAGTTGATTTAGATTATGACAAAGTCGCGCCAACAGCTGGCTTATGCCACTTGTTCCGATTTCATCTATATCTTGCTGA